CGTAAACTGGGAGTCCTCTCACTCACAAAACTTTCAGCTGCTCCTTTTTCTTGTGGCTCTAGTTGCTCGAGATCCCCCGTCTTTTTCCAGGAGCAGAGAAAGTGACGTTTGAATTGATTATTGGAGCCTTGCCTTTCCTTTGACGGACTTCCTCAGAGGCAGTGGGCTCAAACTTTTGCTTCAGTTTTTGTCGGACCCGCTTCCCCGTGACGAGTTTTCTTCTCAGAAACAGTAGTCGCGGGCTTTGATTCGGACTTAGAATCGTAGGGGAGGCCGCTTCCCCGTGACGAGTTTTCTTCTCAGAAGCAGTAGTCGCGGGCTTTGGTTCGGACTTAGAATCATAGGGGATGGTCGTCTCCCCCTCCTCCCTTCATTCCTTCATTCCTTCATAGTCAATGAAGCTAGAGTAGATTGTCGTGGAGTCACTGACTCCGGATCCACCCTTTCTTTCGAAGACTCCCTCGGCATCAGTTCTTAGAGCACTTGAAGTTCCTTTGCCCTATTGGTGATTAGCCTTAGAAAAGCATGTACCCATCAAACTGGGTTCTCTCGATCAAAATTTGTTCTCCAGTGGATATCCTTTGTATCAAAACAACAGTCTCAAAAATGGAGTGAATATAGTCTGAACCTGAGATCCTGTCATTGTCACAAATAGCGCCTCCTCTTCTCTTGCTGGCCCGACAGTCTCTAATTGAATAACTTTTCTTTTGCAGCTTCTTCTGAGAAAGCTGGGAAACCTTATCAATTGTCGCTTCTCCTCAGCGTCCAATGCCGCCCACAATTTTGCGGCCATTGCACCGAATCAGTCTAAATCCAGAACTATGTTCATCACCATCCCGACGGTGCACTGGAGGACGGACAATTGCCTTATCTTAATTGTTGAAAACATGCCTCAAATTCGGGGAGGCATATTCTTTTTTTTGTATACTCCACCGGTCGAATGGGCTGGAATCTGGTAGTCTTTGGCCAACCCAATGAGAAAACAGTGCTTCCAACCCTTAATTTTATTATCAAGGCCTAGCAAGTGGAAATTTATAGTCGACCTAAACACCATGTAGCCATCCTGCTTGACTCTGAAAGCAAACATGTTGGAGAAGATCTCCTGTGACAAGGTGATCTCTCTTCGGCGACAATAGATAGTGAACACCATGATTGCTGCTATCGAGTTGGGCTTCATTTGGGATGGAGTCGCCCCATAGTTTTTCAGGATTTACTGCAGCTCTTACTAGAACAACAATCAAAGACCCCACTGCAACTTATTTCTATAGAAGCTGAGTTCCTTCCCAAAATCATTAGTCGCCCGATTATCTGGTCCAACGGCTTCAAGCTGAAAGTCAACTTCAAAGACGCAAGTATCCTAGAGCAAGGCCGCACCACCCGAAAATATGGTGGACCTCTCGATCGAGGGAAACAACCCCAAGAGTTGGACCATCCAAACGAAAGTAAGAAAGACGAGAGGAGCGACCAAAGGGAGAAAAGAGGAATCAAAAAGTGCAAAATAGTCCAACCCCCTTAGCCCTCATATATGAAGTGCCAGAAGAAGTTGAACCGACGTTAAGGGTTGTACCTCAATTTTGAAAATACGAGTCGCATCAACACAATATTTAAGGGAAAATAATTACAAAAATAAATTTTTTTCGAAAATTAATAAAAATAAAATTGCATTCAGATAGAATGTATTTTACAAGTGGCTCATCAGTCGAGACAAATTTCCATTGAAGCCGCTTCGACCGAGAAAAGTCCTTGTCAAAGCCGCTTCTTATAAACTCTGCTCTCGAATCTAAATCTATCTACACTATTTTCTTAAGCCTCGACTTAGAGAGCTGAACATGTCGCTCAAACATTTGTCATCTCCGCCCGAAGAGCTGTCAGCGTCACCGAAGACCTAAGGGTTGCCAGTTCCTCCCACAGCTCTTTTATTTTTGCCTCTCGCTATAGCCTGGACATCGGAGCGTAAAAGCCCTCTGTTCCCTTCAGGTTGTGAGCCGGTGATGCTGGTGATCTCCGTCATCCGTCAATTGCCCTTTTAGAGTCTTCTCGAGGACTAGTAGGGAGGTTAGCCGCCTTTCCTTTGCTTTGCTCCAAGCCCAGAGTTTCCACTGCCACTCCGTGAATGGGGTCCCGATCAGACGCATGTTATCGCTAATTCTACCATGTGGATCGCTTCATACACGCCAACAAACAAACATTAATGAAATAAAAGAATTTTTTTCTAACTTTAAAGATTGGGTCTTGTCATACTAAGAAGTCGATCCATCTCAGACCACCAAAATGACAAGCGAATTTCACCAGGCAGCTGCGGGATGCCCATAAGCTTGCTTTTGTCGGTCGATAATAGAACTGTAGCCTCCCGGTCCTCCGGTCGTGAGGCTCTAGCGACTCCTTTAGTAGGCTGTTCGATCGGCTGACCGTGGGCCATAGTAAGAGACTAGTAGATGTACCGGCAGTCGGATCACCCAAATTGCTTCCCCCCTCCCTCTGTTGGAGAAGTTGACGTGAGTCAGACGATGCAACTTCTTCCCCCTGATCTTCCACCCGTTTCTTCTTGTAAGCGAGTTTCTTGACCCGCCTTTTACCCTTGGGTCGGTACCCTTATTCTCCTCGTGCCCTTCTTCTCGCCCTCGGGCAGACTCTATCCTTCTAGCCTCTTCATTACCTTGGCTTCTTCTTACCTTTGGGTCGGCTCACTCCTGCTGGCCTCTTCCTCTCGGACTCCTTCCCAAGGCGGAACTTTGATGCGGACAACCCAATGGCTTTTATCATCATTTCCTCAGTGGGGACATCCTCGATAGACTTGTTATCACTCACCATGAAAGTATTTTTGAAGTCGATTGACTGAGATGCGTAGACTCGAAAGCAAATGCGGATAACAAAGACATCAATTACTCTCTATTTATACAGACCATGGTCCATGAGCACAAAAATCCAATGAATTCAATTAAAGTGCTGATTATGAAATAAATAAATCTACATTTACATTTAATTATCTTATTCCTATCTTGATTGTAACTTTCAAGTAATAAAAGAATCGGGGAATTAAAATATATACATAAAAAATGTGTCAGTATGAATCTCAAGAAAATCCAATGGACTAAGAGACATGGAAGTATGACCAGGAGGGGCCACAGAAGGAAGACCAAAAGTCTCATCACTGGAAGATCAAAGAACTTAATTATTCAAGCGCAGATTCCTTAAATCGGGATTTGAAGTCAACGTGATGCGAGCCGTTCGAACGAAAGAGCAAGATATATCAAGCCGAGAGAAGGCATCACCCAACTGTCGCCTCATTATTATCAGTAACCTGCCTCCAAGGCTCTTCATCAGGAGGCTGAGAGTTTGCCACGATATACCACGAACAATACGAAAAGAACTTTTGTCAAGGGTAAGCTATCTATCAGATTATGGTGATTCTTCCTCTGTTTGACAGTTTAGTCTCATCTTGGTGATAGAAGCTCTTCATCTATATGGGTTGATTGTCAATAGTCAGAATAAAGTAGTCGACCAATAGACTCAAGCTGATCAAGCCAAGTCCGGATGACTGAAGATCATCATAAGCCGACCGACAACCCTAGCTTAGCATAATCGGAGAACAAACTATGCCGAATCAAGGCTCCTTAACCCCAGTCGACCCAATAATAGGGTAGCCGAATCGTAGGCTAATTTATGTAAATACCCAAAATAATATGTAATTTACTTACCTCCTCCCTTTCTATGAGTTGAGGATTATATTTTTCCCAATTAAAGGTGAAAAGGGCATTGCTCCCTTGGCAAAACTTCTGCAATAAGTGCTAATAAAAAATTCATTCTATTGTTCATTAGTATTCTCTCTTCTATTTTACGCTCTATTCTTTGGGTGTGACACTCGAACAGATTTAGTTTCAACACGTAGGTTAATGCCCAAGTTGAGGAAGCAAAAGGTTTATATCATAATAATATTATTGGAAGTTTTAAAGTAGTGCTCAGAATGAGTTTTTTATCTCATGCTCAATTAACAAGGGCTATTGAAAAACGGTGTAGGTCCGATATAATTTCATAGTGCTTTTATTGGCGAATCTAAGGGTCTATTTGCGACAATTGCAGTTGTTTGAAGATGCAATCATTAAGCTGCTTTAGAAGAAACTTTTTTTTCAAAAAATTGCGGCAGCTATTATAAATTTATTTAATTTTTAAAAAATCAGACTGCAACTTTCTGGCAGTCACCACACTAACAGCTCGGGTTGAAAAAACAATTTTCTACCAAAAAAAAATTTAAGAAGCAAAAAAATAATTCCCCAAAACAAAACTATAGTGGTGGTCTAAAAAGAAAAGCATACTGAATGTTGTCCCAAACAGACACTAAGGGTGCGTTTGGGGCAGTTTGTGCGTTTCAGGATAAACAACTTATCTTGAAACGCGGCCCGCGAGTCGTTCGCAGGGTTCGACTCGCGGTCTGCATTTAGTGTAAAAATGGAACCGCGTTTTTGAATTAGCGGGCAAAACGGCGAATCAAACGATACCACGACATTTTCAAAAACACCCCCACACTTATAAGTTGCCCCAAACGGGCCCTAACTGTCTACTCCGTAGAAGTCACATATAAAGCTCACTAAGCCATGCTCCATTGTGAGAATATCATTAACTAATGTTTAAAATTGGTGGTTATACGGGATTGGTTTACCTACATAGCACGAGATATTTATTAATTTATGTACCTAATAATTAACTTTTTTTAATTAATATTTACATGAATGACACTAAAATCAATAATATCACATAAAAATGTTGCTAATATTAAATTTTATGATGTAAAATACATCTTTTCCTCCATATATTTTGATGTAATTATAACATTAAAATACTATGTAAGTGAACATTAAAATTTAGGCATTAGATATGTAAATATATAAGAATTATGTGGTATCAATTTAAATCATCTAAAATCAATTGTTGCACTCAGTTTTTGTTTTTAAGCTGAATAATACTGGAACTTGATGCCAAAATTCTATTTCTCACCTTGTCAGCCTGTGGAGATTTGGGAAATGATTCGAATGATTGCAACTGCGCGCATAGTGATGCCAAAGGCAATGGTTAGGCTATCTGCAGGCCGCGTCAAGTTCACCATTCCAGAGCAGGCTCTGTGTTTTCTTGCTGGTGCTAATTCCATCTTCACTGGAGAGAAGTTACTCACTACGCCCAACAATGATTTTGATGCTGATCGACTGATGTTTAATATCTTAGGCTTGACCCCCAAAACTCCAACATTTTCTGAAGAAATTTCAGTTCCAGCCCCTGAATGCTGCGAGGAAGAAGCCGTCTCGTTTAATGGTTGAAGCTTACTATCAAGTTATTGTTATTATTATTATTATTATTATATTTAATGGATGTAAGGTTGTTTGATTTATTTTATTGTAGCTTATTTCGTCTGGGAAATCAGGTCTGAAGTACATGGTGTGTTAAGATTAATACAGTGAAAATGCTCAAGTTATTTTATTATCCTGGGAATGATGTTTCTTTCCATTGAAATGTTGCAGCGAAGTTTTAAGTGGCATTTCTCATTATGAGCTGGAGATCTCAATTCATGCAAAATTTTAAGGGCTTGTTTTAGATCTATTTTGTTCTTCATTTTTTACTTTTATATTTTAAAAATATTTTTAATGTATTTTTTATATTTAATTTGATTCTTCAAAACAAATTGATTTATTTTTAAAAGCACTCAAAATGATATTCAAGTATTTTGAGTGTTTTTAAAGATAATTAAATATATATTTTATGTCAACCAGATTTTGTTTTAAATAAAAAGTATAAATATAATAAATAAAAGTGGAAAATCAAAAAAATGAACTTGAATGGCTCCATAGAAAGAGCTGAGTTTTGTAGCAATCGTCATTGGCTGTTGTATTTTTTGTTTCCTCTTTTATAATTAAATTTGAAAGAAGGTATTGATTCTTTCTAATGCCTTCATGATTTCTATTGTCGCTTTTTTGTGTACAATAAAACTTTATTGCTCATATTATGCATTAAATTGTTTACTATTACATCCTATAAAATAATATTGTTCTTCATTTTTTTTTGAATAAAATATTTGGCATTTTTTTAATATTTTAAAAAACGTTGTGGTGATAGTTTATGAATTTATGAAGATACTAATAAATCGTAAAAAATTGATACATAGATATTTTTTATGTGTATTATTGATTTGTCAGATCATATGAAGTACTAAAAATAAATTAGGGCTTTATTTTTCTTGACCTTGATAAAAGTGATGTCCTAGATGATTGTAGACTTCAGTAATGATCTATAGTACCTAATAAGAATAAATGCATTCGACTTTAGTGATTTAATGTTACTTAAGCGTTCCCAATCAAAGGATTTCTTAAGACCTTATAAGAACTCAACTTAAACTTTAATGATTAGACCATAATCACATCAACCACAAATTGAGGATTTGAGGTATAACATTTGAAGCCCTAAGTAGTGAAGATTTATTTGGAGTTCTATATTGATATTGGTCTCATCAGTGGTTATCTGAAAAAGTCACTAGAAAAACCCCAAGGCTAGATCCTAGGCTCCTAGAGAGATGATACACCTTATTCAAAAATGAGGTCAATAGTATTACTATGGAAATACATTATGGATTACTTTTTTTATCGAGGTTTATGAATGATATCATTTTGTAGATCATTATATAATAGTTAATATTTTTAATAGTTCATGCACAAAATCTTACTCTACCATCAGTTCATATGTATGAAAACTTCCCTAAAGCATATATGAAATGTTTTTTTACCTTTCTTCACTTCTATTAAGATCTGCCTTAGAAGGCCATATTAATACCTTCAACCATATCATATTATTATGGTTTAACACAAATTATCCAGATCGTCATATTACATAGATAACATTAAATCACTAAAGTTGAATGCATTTCTTATGATTAGGTACTATAGCTCATTACTGAATGCATTTGTTTTGCTTTGGGGAAGGCTTCGTATGTTATTTCCATAGTAATATTGCTGACCTTATTTTTGAATAAGGTGTATTGTCTCTCTAGGAGCCTAGGATCCAGCCTTAGGGTTTTTCTAGTGACTCTCTTAGATGACTAGCGATGAGACCAATATCAATATAGAACTCCAAATAAATCTTCACTCCTTAGGGCTCTGTATGTTATATCTCAAATCATCAATTTGTGTTTGACGTGATTATGGTCAAGTCATTAAAGTTCAAGATGAGTTCTTATAGGGTGAAAAAGGCCTTAAGAAACCCTTTGACTGTAAACGCTTAAGTTTACTTTTGGTAGCCCACTTTGCACTCCCAAAGCCTAGGAGCTTTGGTTCAGAAAGAAGACCATTGGGTATGAGGCTATCTTATTGAACCACAGTCTATAACAAAAAGAAACCATAAACTGAACCCCCAAAATCACCAAATCAAATCAAAGGAAAATTGAAATCAACACATACTAAATTTATCAATTAAGACTAAAGCCAATAAAGCCTAATTTACTAAACCATCAATTGAAACCAAAAACCAAAGTTAAATCAACCAACCTTAAAATAATAATAAATAAATAAATAAATAAATAAATAAAATCTGCTAATTGATTACAAAATCATAATAAAATCAAGTCAACAATGAAAATTCGTTATACCCCATAATCAAACATAGCCAAATGTACCATAGGCAAAATAAAATCAAGGATAACTAAATCCACCAAATTCACCAAATAAAAAATTGAAACACTAACTAAAATTCCAAACCCTAATCATCAAATAAAAGTTACAAAAATTCAATCCCAAATTAAACCAACCTAGTATAAATTTGATAAAATAAAATTCATAAATAATTACATCAATTAACATTTGGTTATTTGAACATAAGAAATTATAATTAGTAATTGAATTAATAAACATGAGCAAAGTTAATTAAAAAAAAATAATTTTAAAAATTAACAAAGTCCAAGCCCAAAGCCAATAGCTAAAATGTCAAACCTAAACTCTGAAATCAAAGGCCTACCCATCACACCCGTACATACTAAAAAGAATTATTTTACCATTAGAAGTTGAGGCAAAACCGAGATTAAATGTTAAAAGACAAGCACTAAAGGAAAAACCCATGTCATTAAAATCTGAAACTCAATAAGTGTTACCAAAGTCAAACAAATCCAAATCAAACTCAAAAGGGAACCAAGACTAGACCAACATGTAGGCCAACCATAAAAAACAGGCCTTCCCTAATCACCTAACTCCTCCCATGCCACCTCCATGACCATTAAAACTCATCTACGTGAAAACTCAAAAGGAGCAAACACCTTTCCTTGTAAAAAGCCACCGGCTGCCCTCTTCCCAAGCTCTGGTGAGTTTCCAGAGGATCTCCAGAGCATCTTCAAGTAGCCTTTGAGCTCTTCCTTGGCTTCTCATTGCCATTAGAAAAACAAACCCGATAACGTTTTTGGTGGGATTTTTTTTAATTGTTGTGGGCCACCATAGATCTCAAAAGACTTCATCAAAATGATCAGATATGGAATTCAATGAATAATTTACAATCTCAAAAGTAGAAATATTGCCTTAGAATGTATCTAATCATTCTGATGAGAAAAATCTTTAGGATTTATGGATTTGTCGAACCAGGATTCTTCCCTTACTTTACAGGTGTAAGATAAGGGTTTTTTTAATTCTTGGATATCATTCCTATAGGGTCAAGTCCTTGTAGTTAATTACATCTTTATAGCTGTAAGCCCTAAGAGAAATCTCTCGGTTAATATGATAAGTAAGTTGTCAGAGATAGGGCTTTCATGATTGAAGGGGTCCAATTTACAATAATTGAGTTTCTAGAGATGGGAATTATGATTCGAAGATGATATGTCATTGAAAAAGCCTAAGATATAGGCATTTGACCTCGTAATAGAGGTAATCTATACCCAAAGTAATTTCCGAATAATTTTGAAAAAGGGGTGATAATGAGTTCAACTGAACATGATTTTAGCTAAATTTCAATGGAATTTGAACTAGATTTGGATTGATTTTTGAAGTGAGTGAGGTTAAATGATGATTTAAAAATACTTGATTTGACTGACGAAGCTAAGGATAGAGTCAGGTATGGAAAGATTTTTAGATAGAAAATGAAACCTTAAACTCTATAAAGAATTCTATAAATGGATTAACTTAGACTTTGGGAATAAATTCCCCAATCAAGATGCCTGTGGCTTTTCTTTGTTTTGAAAACATTGGTATCTGTCAACTATGATCAACTTCATGACCAGGAATTCTCCTTGAATGCCAGAGCATGGAGGATTTGTAGTTTCGAAGCAGTTTAAAATACATTCATCAGTAACCATGGAAACTTCATTATAAGGCATTTCCTCTATTCTTAGATGGTAGGTATGTTGTTTTACATGTCGTAGTACTTAACAATAACTAGGTACCTAAACAAAGCTAGGCTTCTTTACTCAAATTAACCTGCGGTATGTGTATGACCGTTGGTTTAGTGTTTAAGTTAGCTAACCTAAAGTCCATGTTGAATCTACCTAGATTTAGTTCTCTTTCTTTATATTGGTAAATATTTAGATATTTATTTGAAGTTCAATATTTGCATTAATATCTTGTTTGATTCTTAATATTAGTCGTGTTTCAGAAATCAATGTTGTTCTTGTTTTGAATTTTGTTTAATTTTTGAGATTTGGCTACTTTTTGAGGTTTACAGAGAAAAACAAAGAAGTCTTCATGCTTATTTTTTTATTTTATGTATATATATATTTTTTTAAACATGAAATAACATGTGGGATAACATGAAATAACATTTAAAATAAGACTAACAAGATCTCATACATTTTTATAAGTTTAAACAACCAAGCATAACGTTGCATGCAATGCACCTATCTCAAAGAATAGGCACATTACTTGATAGCGGGCTTGATTAAATAAATTAAAAGAATTTATGAAATCTGTTTGGTCTACTAACCTTTTATGCATGACCAAAAAGTTCTCATATTTAATATAAAGATTAGATAGGGTTTATATTACCTGAGTCTTTAGTTCTCTATAGAGGCAAACCCCTATAGTTAATTACATCCTAAATGACTGAAGCCACTTAATAAAACTCTCGATAATGATCAGTGGTCTTTGTCTTCAAGATTTCAAGGATTAGGTTTTCAAAGTTGGATGTAGGGAAAATCAAGTGGGGAAGGAACAAATAAGAACAGTTATTTTCAGAGTCCAAAAGAAGGAAAAGGTAGGGGACGACATAGGTTTTGAGAAGAAACTTGATGACTTCCCAAACTATCCTATTGATTGGCTTCATTTTGGAGACGATGTTATTTGATGTATCAATCCTGCTAATTTATTATTTAGGGCTTACATCTGGATGATATATGATCATGCAAATAGCCTTGAAGATAGGAGGGCTTATGTTGTATCAGACGACGAGCTCGGTATCATAAGAAAGTTAGGACTTATATTGCACAACATGGTTGTGCAAAATCCAAGGATAAGGTGAGGATTTATGTCGCACTAGTAAAAAAATCT